GGGCGCTAGGGGGCGGGGGGGGGGGGGGGACCTTCTCCCATCGCACAGATGCCTCAGAGGGCCTTGTGTTTTTAGGGAAATATGCTGCATTGTTTACCCGTGTTGAATATAAACACGTCACCATACACTAAGAATACATTTTTATATTTAGAACCAATTGGACATTTATTTTAATTGCTCATCAAATTTACGAAGCACACATGGCAGAAGACAAGCACTTTATTTAAATGTGTAACATATGAACCTGTAAATAAAGCTGACTGATGAATAAATCTGATGCCTTATTGAAACAGTTTCATTCCAATCATTTGTCCAGCTTGGACAATTAACCTCTAACTGCAACGGTAGATTGAAGGAAAAGCGGCTCGTTGTGATCAGCGCGTTCCCTTCTTCCTTTGTTGTGGAACTGAAGCTCCATTAAACTCGAGACCCTCCCCCCCCATCCGTGTCAGGCTCTAATGGATGTGCAAGCCCCAAGGCCCGGGCTCTCGGATCCCCCCAGCGGCCGCATCCTTTCTCCGCCCCGTCAGTGCGGTAACTGGGAGAGACAGGTGACTTGGCCATGGTTAACGTCTTAATACTCGCTGGGATTGCCTCCAGGATCGGAGCGGCGAGCGCTAATAGTTTTCCTCCTGTCGTGCCGGCAAGAAAAACAAGCCTAGCAAGGAGACGGAGCAGCCGAGCGGCACCGTGGAGCACAGAGAACATGAAACATGAAACGTTGAAGTGATCGAGTCACTGATTCGGTTGCATTAGTGTTGCGATCTGATATATGACGTGGTGGCTTAAGTTGACGCCGCACTTGTTGGGTCGAATGCTGTGACGTTGCCATTGTGGGGGGCTTAAAAGACCGCAAGTCAAAGGGTCTTATTCTCACACCCAGTACAAGTCGAGCGCAAAGTGCAGTCTGAGTGTGCGCATGGGTGGAGTTTTCTTTCTTTTGCTATCTTGGTAGACGACTCGTGCAAAGGTAGAAAGGTGCGTTTGCGCCGTTGCGGGAGTGAACAAAACCGGCTTGCTTCCCTTCAAATTCAACACAGGACAGGCGCACATTCTTGAAAGACGGCAAAAGTAGAAATAGACATTGCGATTTCGATTTGAATTGAATTAGTTCGCCAGCCCTCATATGCACCCTAAAAACATGAAGAAAACGATCACGCAAAAATCTGCCGCCATATACCGCTAACGTGATGAGCCGCCATACAGTGAGGCTCCATCTTCACGTGCGGATCCAGGAGGATGCTCCTTATGTGGACACACGTGGAAATTGGAGCGGCTCCTTCCAGAACTCAATCAGTGTCACGTCACATGGTTCAAAGCGGCCAATTCGCCGGCGCCAGCAGGTTGAGAAATGCAAGGTGACAGTTCATTTTACCACTGACAGTGTGTCGGTCTCGCTCGCTGGTTCCCCCAGTCAATTCCCAGCGAGGAGTGAAGGTTGCTGGAGACAGACAGCGCCACCCCCACACCCCAACCCACCCCCCCCGCCATTCTCTCTCCTTCTTCCTCCCTACGCCGTTCCCTCATCGACCTCGCTCTGCTTTGTATTCCAATTAAGTAGACGGGGAGGGAGGCGGCAGGATCACAAGTGCAGGCAGACACGTTCTCCTGGCGTCCTTCCAGTATCTCAATCCCACTTGTATCAATAGCGTTGGCTCACTTGTTTCAGCGGGATAATTCATGGATTCTTCTGGAGCGACCGCCTCTAGGGACAATGTCTTGGCCGTGAAAAATAGGCCGCTCTCATGCGTGCATACATCAAATGTAATGGAGGTATGTCATCGCTCAGTGAGCGAGCTGGGATCGCTATGCTTAGCGGACACTTCAAATAATGCTAGATTAATATTTGCACATGGCTCATATATTCTACAACAATACAATCTCCCCATCCCGGCTTTCTATACGCCGAGGCAACCGCAAGGAACGTAGCGTTAGCTCTTATTGTCTTTTGTGTCCTCAATCTATCATCGCTTCTTACCTTTACCCCTCCGCAAAACTCCCCCTTGCACTGACATGTGTGTGAGCAATGGGTGGGCTGGGAATACAAGTATTGTGAGGAAATCCGAAAAGCAAACTGCGTCTTTTTATCTCCTGCGGCAACACAAACATTTGCCGGCGACCCTCGGAAGTGTCGGACGGAGCGCCTCGTTGCAGAGGGTTTTGGATTTAAAGTGCAGTGGCGAGCCGTCAGGGTCGGCGAGGCCTTCTCTGCAGAAGCACTGACCGACATCCATCCATTTCTTTCTTTTCTTGCGTAATCTACATCCGCTGCTTGGGGTTAAGGATTTGTCAAAAGTAACCTAATCTGCTCAAAATTTATCTTGAGAATGCTCTGTGTGGCGCAAATGTGTGTGTGCACCTAGCTAGGACAGGACACAGACCTACGCTCCAACACCCCGTGTGCCCCGAGGAACCTCCTGACTCTCTCTCCTGGCGCTATCAGATCAGAGGGACCCGCTGTCCCTCCCCACCCCGCAATGCAAATGAAAAGGAATGCACTGATAAAAGGCCAGATCCCAAAGATGAGAGGGCAGGAGGAGGACAGAGCTGGTGAATCCTAAACGGGGGGAGGGAGGGATATGGGTCGAGGGCGTGGAGGGTGGGGGTGGGGGGCTCTTGGTGAGATGAGAGGTGGTCAAGGAGTCAGTGTTGGTAGTAGTGGGAGATCATAGCCTCGCTCCCCCTCAGCGACGTTTGATACAGGGCTTTTGTCGCTCTTTCAGCGGCGCATTGTTGCCTGGTGTAATCCCCGTCGGATTACAAAGGGCTTCCCTTTTCATATGGGGCTGACCCAGCAGGCAGGTGGCTGCGGCTCTGTGGAGCTGTCAAGGGGAGGGACCCCTCTTTTCCAAGGGAGGGGACCCCAGTTCCTCTTACCTTCACAGGGGCTTTTTGCTGGGAGGCCAGTCAGGCGCAGGTCAGCACGGGGACAATTCCGACACGGGACTCAACTCGGGCTGACCCCGCGGCTTCCTGTGGGGACGTGACGGGGAAGGAGGCCGTCATCGTCATCGTCATTTGCGTGAAAACCACAAAAAAAGACACAAAAGACGTGTTAGTGGGAAAGTTAACATAATACAGTGTCCCTCCCTACTATATTGCGGTTTGTTGTTCTCGCTGAATTTCACCATATCATTTTTTTAGATGGTTTCCCTACATCGTGGAGTTTCATCGACTGCGCAAGGGTCTTGAACATATCCCCCGGTTCACTGTTTGGATGTACTAAAACAGTCAGATGATGCTCGTAAAACCATTACATCCATGAACAAAAGCCTCAGGACACACCTACTCATTAAATAGTCAATAAAGGGGTTGGACTAAAACCCTAATGACCCTCAATCTTCATTGTTCATTTTATGAAGACAATTGTATGCTTCCAATGTTGTGGGAGTACTTTTGGGATGTTGCTGCACTATTCCCAGTGCTCGAAGCAAGGACGGGCAAATCCAGATGATTAATTTCCATATTTAAAAAACAAATTAAAAGCTCAGCTTGAGTGGGCGCCGTGAGCCACGTGTGATTGAGCAACGGTCATTTGATGGCTTCCCTTGCTGTGCGTCAGATGTGTTGCACGATCAATAAAACGATAGGCGAGGCCCAGCGTGTGTTCTATTCATTTTATACTCCCCGTACGCGTTCAAACTGTTTGTGTTCCGTCACACATCTACTGCTGTTATAAATCACTGTTCAGATACTGTGAGGGGCCAATTTAGAGAAGCTTGTGTTGTCACAAATATCCTAATTAGTTTCTCAGCCCACATCGGAGAGCCATCAAGATGGTCAATACGATGATTTAAACCCAGGGAGAGGGAATTAAATCTATTAAAGTATTTGCTAATATGTGCTCTTCTCGGTGAAGGTAATGTATGGATCCTTTCAAAACCTAATCGGCTAAGACGGAGACCAAACGACAGTCGCCGTAGTGTAATTTCTAAACACAAAGCAGCAGCCATGATTGAATTTGAAGAGTAGGTTTGCGTTTAACAGTTCCAGACAAGCCAGCTCGCAAATCTGCATGGTAACTGGATTTGACCATAATAATACCAACTCCCAAGTGTGACAATTTATGCATGCTCAAAGCAGCAGTATTTTCTCCTCATTATGAAAACACAATGGGTAAACACATGCAATAAACTCTGTCTTTAACAAAGCATCCAGTGCGTGTATGGACAATGCATTAAACATACCCAGAAACCATTCTATAGTGGTTATTTATTTCTACAAAAACCGTGGTGCTTTCCAGGTCTGATTATTGTGCTTTCCGATTTCACTAAGGTTATTGAATGCAGCATCCACACCAACACGGAAGCCAACCGCCTAATACGTTCTAATTTGACACTTTTAAAGTATTTGATTATTATTATTATTATTATTATTATTATTATAGCGAGTTGTTTAACGTATAAGGTTACTTGGACTTCAATAGGCCTTTATATTTGAGTACTTTAAAACTAGAGGGGAGATTGTGTGCATTATTTTGATTCGTGCAACAAACCGAACTTAAGATAAACAAAACAATCTTTTTAATTTTGTGAGACGTGTTTATTTATGTATTTTTTTTCTTTAGATTTTAAATTCAAACCCAGGCAAATGTTTCCGGATTGAAGGTCACCTGTTTGGGAGGTTCGGAAATACGTCACTTTACAGCCCCGCCCACTTCTCTTTCCCGCGAGCAAACCACAAAGATGGCGTCGGTGTTGAATCGAGTGCTCAGCGCAATTAAGGGGGTATTCAGGTATGTTCGAACTTTTAAGTAAAGACAAATGATTCGTGGGCGTCATAGAAAACAAACACCCGAGCAGATGACCTAAAGTTTGGTTTTGTCATATGTGGGAGTTTGAAGTGTTAAACTGTGACGTCACACAACAGTGCCTTCGTTTAAATGCGATTTAATGTGTTTCGTCGCGTGATATACAATATATTTATCTACAAATGTGAAGTAAAAATCATGAAAACAATTCTTATCATACCCTACGAGATGTAGTGTACTTTCTAAGGTCTACATGTACGGTATATATATATATCACATCTGTCCAATAGAGTTCAACTAAGCTTGAACACTGACATAATCTTGGTGGAGGTCTGTACGTTAGTGGTATCTTAGTTAGAGTATATACGCAGGAGTAAGATGGTATAACAAATGTAATGGAGGCCGAAGACTTTTTTTCACAGTCCCGTCCATACATTTTTGCTTAACCTTGACTTGTGTATGGCTGTGATGTTGCAGACGAGCTACGGCCTTCACTTACTGTCAAACTTATCGTCAGCATCAAACCACAGGAAGTTATCATCTTCTGCACACGCCCCCCACCCCCCACCCCATAACACATCCTTGCGTGTTCACCACGATGATACTGGCACGGAAGTTGTGTTTCAGAGAGTAGGTGGTTCTTGTTTCTGTGTCAACGGTGCAAAGGGACGTGAGGTGAGGTGTGCGAGTTAAAAGCAAAAACTACGCCTGTACGAGCACAGCTGGTCTGGCAAAGTCAGTTGCAGTTGTGGATGTCAGGAATGGGGACCATCCCAAACGACATCAGGAGACTACTAGATGGTAATATTTTTTCATCACTTTGCCAAATCCACTCAATTGAATTCATTTTTTAAAAGAAATCTACAGTGGTCTGAAGTGGGCGAGTGCGAACTTACTTTATAAGGATCTGTATATTGGATTGGGAGTGTTTCATAGCCATTATCATGCCTTTGGATAACATTTGCATGTATCAAGATATGAGTGATGGTGTGAAGGATACAAGGCAGATTAGTGATGTGGGCTAACCTGTTTGTTCGCAGAAATGGCTGCCACACTGCCCCTTTATGTTTGCAGTCTAACATATGACATAATTTAGGCTAAATCCACACAGATGAAAAGATCAAATTTGACAAAGAAAATCCTTATTGGGCAGTGTGAACGTAGCCGCTGCGAACAATTTCAGTCAATGCTTTCATTTTAATGTTGATTCAGTGAAAGATATTGTCGATTTAATTATGATAGTACTCAGTTTTTAACTTTACAATATAGTAAAAGTGCTTTCATGTATCATAAAAAGAGTCTCATTCCAACTACGACCACAATAAGCACCATTGTCTCATTTTCCTAATGGCTCTAAGGTCTCGTGAGGACACTTGTTGTTGGCTTGCCCCTCATTTAACATTTACCAACTTCTCTGATTGTTCTTTGCGTTTCTGTTCATTCAGACTGCGAGCTGTTTATCTCTGAGATCCTTCAGGACGAGGAGCTGAGTGAAAATGCGGCCGAGACCCGCAAAATCCTACTGAATAATTTCAGGGTGGTGCACGTGAGGTAGGAGTCGGCATCATCACTGTTTACCTTTTTACCAAAAAATAAATAAATCTCATGAAGGTCCACTCAAGCGTCACAATGTAATTTCATGGCCCAATTATCTAATGTTTGCTGCTAATACCGAACAAGAACTGTAATTGGTGCTGTAATTGCCTTAAACACAGTTTGCTACATTCAGATGAACTCATCGAGTCTAATGGCTTGTTGCTTATTGCTGTTATCAGTTTTTTAAACGTCTCATGCGAGAGAACCCTTTTCTTATCATTTCCTTTTAATTTGATTCAATTTGTGGACGTGATAGTGACAGAATCCCTTGTGAAGAAGAGAGCGGAAACAACATGATACATGCACCGGTGCAGAGAAACTGCTCGTTTTATCGTCTTTCACTGAAGATGTTCTTTTTTTTTCTCTCTCTCTCCGCAGAAACCCTCAGGAATTCCCCTTCCCCTGTAAGTATCATTTTATTTCCAACACATGACATTTACATGTGCATGGCATTAGCAACTGTTTCAGCTGTGAGTGTGCGCATGTCACGCCGAGAAGGCATGGCAACATGTTTTGTGATGGCACTAAACCCTGAGCCAACACTGCAAGCTTTTTTTTTTCTCCCCCCCCCCCATGCATACACTAGTGTGTGGATTTTTGTTGTGCCACGTTCTGAAAATGAGTATGATATGTAACTGACAGGAAATAATGATTTACATTTACGCTGGAGTACATTTCTGTTTTGTTTTTCTTCTTCTCAAGAGAAGGAGTTGAATCAGTATTTTTACTTGAGGCGTCTACAGCATCTGTACTTCTACTCCAGCGCAGTGTGTTCGCACTTTAGCCACCACCACCGCCGTACTGATTGCCCTTCTATCCACTATTGCATTCAGCTGACTCGAGGGAGGAAGACGGTTCTGACGACAACCGCAGCTCGAGTCTGGGTCGCTCTGCGCCGTCAGACGCCGCCTCGCTGGCTTCCGACTACCAGGAGGACGGACCGGCTGAGTGTAAGCGCTCTCTGTCTCACTCTCTATCTATGTGCGTCTGCGTGTTGTTGATCGAGCGAGGCAATTAAAAGGAAGAGTTATTGTTTGTATCCTCTGAGAAAGCTGCCCGGCTGCACTTTTAACACCCTCTCAGATGGCCTCTTCACTCCACAGGAAGCACACATTGTTGTCCTAATTTGAGAAAACAGATCACGCCATATCTCTGTGACATCACTGACTCCTCCCTCCAAAGCCCCCCCCCCTTCTCTCCATCATTGGCCAGTGAGCAGGTGGGCTTCTCCTGCTTCCTCACAGGGCTGATTGGTGAGCTAGAGCGCCCCCCGGTGGTGGTTGCAAGCTGTCAGCAGCCCACACAGGCACAAGGCTGTGTAGCTGCGGGCTAATGCCGTGATTGATTGAGCCCCTGCCCCTCTATTCTTTCACAAGCGGGTTTGAAATACAACACTGTACCTGAGGGCCCATGTGTGTCCTGTCCCTCTCTGGCTTTATCAATCTTTCCCTCCATCTTACTCGCTCCCTCCTCTTCAGAATTTTTGCGTTCCCAACTCGCCACGCCGGCTAATCGCCCTTGACATGCCGCAGGTGGGCATTATTGACTCGGGTGTCTCTGGTGCCCATTTCTTGTTTTATTTATTTTTTTGAGGAGCACATGTAGACTGTTCCGTGCATATGGGGGGGAAAAATGTTTCCGGTGGTTTTAGCGCGCTGCTCATTAATGCCAGCTGGTTGTCGTCAAATATGGCTACGTGAAGTCGTGCGTCTCTGCAACGCAAGGAAAATGCAGCAGACGATCCTGGCAGATGGCGGAATGATCGTAATTATTTTTTTTCTCTGCATTTGCTTTAAAATAAGCAGCACGGTGTACGAGCGGTTAGCGCATCTGCCTCGCAGTTCAGGGGGCCTTGGTTCATATTCTTGTTACGGCCGCCTTGGCGTGGAACTTCCATGTTCTCCAGCTTCCTCCCACGATTCCAAAAAACATGCATGTAAAGTTCAGTGAAAACCCCCCAAATGGGGGAAAAAATTTAAGTTTAAACAAATTGTCAAAAGTCAAATTGCATAGCCCCCCCAATATAGTGATTGCACTTTAACATCCGATTATTTTTTTCAAAGTCCTTTTGCATGTATCTTTTAACAAAAGACAAGCAATATCTTCCAGGTTACGCTTATACTAAAATAAAGGCGATTGAACCATAAATGAATATGAAAGGCAATTTATCTATTTCAATTGGAGTCGTTAACTCATGGAACCCGTTCACTTTCAGTCTTTTTATGTATTCACTATGAGAACTTCACAAAATTCTACCACACGTGCAACGTAAAAATAAGTCACCAAGTCAATAATTCTTTTCATAAATTGCCTTCTTCTACGTTGCGACATCGATTTGAATTCCATTAATTGTTTATTTCCCGAGAGTGAATGGATTGTTGGCTCTATGCGCCCAGTCCAGTGTCACTCAGCTTCGGTCAGCTGGGATTGGCTCCTGCTCACTGTGTGACCCTAATAAGGACAAGTGCCGGAGAAAACAGGTGGATGGATGGATTTCCTTTAAAATGCCTTCAAATGCTCTTGAAGCCTGTGAGGCACACCTTTTGCTCCATACTTTGTTGATGCATCTTCGGCAACAATAACAGTCTAAAGACCTTTCGAATACGATGCCATGAGCTTCTCCGCATCTCACAAGCTGCACCCTGTAGGATGCCGATCCGTCGATGTACAGCCATTTTCAGATCTTGCTGTAAATGTTATTTCCCCCCTTCCTGTAGTTTTTATTTATTTTTTTAAGCTCTGCCAGTGTGCATCACCCTTGTCAGTGGTAAATGTGAGCAATAGCCAATTAAGCTTTCGATGTGCCATTTGGCTGGAATCAAACAACATCAGATAGCTGGACTTGAAACGTAAACATTTTAGCGCGGCATTAACAAGCGCAACCTTTGCTTCCCGGAGAGAAGCCTCTGGCGCTGTTTGCTTCTTTCTCATGATGGTGTTAGCATAGTGAATGGCTTGTGTCCTCAGCTAAAGGGCATGTGGAGTTCAAAGTTCAACCTGTGTTCACTGGGCGCACTTTCTTGGGGCT